AAGGGTGTAGTAGTGATGATGGGGAAGAACATAAAGTGAAGTTGTGGTTGAGAAAGGAAGAGCAACTCAAAGGAAATTATGGCAGTGAAGGAAAAATCACAGACCTGAAAGGAAATCTTAGGGTAGTGCTAGGGCAGGGGTAGGCAAAATATGGCACACGGGCTGAATCTGGGCCACCAAGGGATTTTGTCCAGCCCCTGGCAGATCCTGCAGCCCTGTCCAGCCCAGGCGCAGGTGGCAGCTGGGGCTGTGGCACATGCGGCTAGTCCTGCTGTCTCTAGGCTCACAGCAGGGCTGTGGCAGCATGGTGGCCAGACTCGCTTCCAGCTGTTGTTACTGCCAGACCAAGTCCTGCTTCCCAGATGCCCCAGCAAGTCCACCCTGCACCCACTTCCAGGGGCAGGGCCCACACAGGCAGGGCTCATGGCCAGGAAGATGGGATGGGGTCATGAGTGGGCAGGGAGTGGTGATTGGGAGCAGGACGGCCAGGCTGATGGGGAGGGATCTTAAAGTGGTGACAGTGCGGGACCAGGGCCTCATGATCCCAGCCCTGGCGATGTCTGCCTACCCATCACACTCCTAGATGCCACTCCCTGCCTGCCCGTGGCCCCATCCTGGCTGAGCATGGAGCAGAGCCATGATCCATTGTCCACATGCCCCTATGGTGGGCACTGGTTCTGTGGACAGGAGCATGTCAGGAGTGGATTGTGGCTCTGTCCTGGGCTCCAGCCCTGCACTATCACTGCCCCACAATCCTGGGGTCTGCTCAGAGGACCCACGCAAGCAGGACGCGCAGTCAGGCGGATGGGATGGGGCCACTTACTCCGTTTTGATAAGTGTTGTGGAAATGTGGTGACCCAGCCCACAACGGCTCACCAAATTCCCTATGTGGTCCACAGACCCAAATCATTGCCCACCCCTGTGACAGAGGAACAAAGTCCCAGTGTAGAAGCAGCAGAATTGAGGACTGGAGAAAGCAGAGATGTTCCTGTACCACCTTCCCTTAGCGATCTGGTTCCACCGATGTCAGAAGCAGGGCGCTGCACCATGTGAACCCTGGGTCTGATGCAATCTGGTATTTCTTGTGTTCCAAGAAGGAAAATATATTTAGAAAAGAAGGTGCACAATGCAATGAGAAGCATACATTTTGGACCCTGATCCTCATATTACAAAAATAGCAATATATATGAAATTTTTTCTTATGGCTCAAACCCTGGTTATTTTACACTTGTATTACTTCAGAGGGTTTTCTCTCTATCTCTATCAAATCCCCGCAGCTTTTTTTATTATCTCCTGGCTGTACACATCCTCTCATTCTCTAGACCCGTGGGGATTTTTTATTTTTCTACTTGAGCTAAATGGCATAAGTCTTTTCCAGGAGTACATCAATGATACTCCATAATGGGACAGAAGGTTAAATAAATGCTTCACCACTCCTTACTGGCTGAGAAGGTTAATTTTGTAGAATGTCCTGTTGCTACCTAAAGACAAGAGGCTAGGAGTTTCATTTCCCTCTTAGCACTCTGTGCTTTTCTTATGCATGACTTCATTTAGAAGTTTGTGGTGCACCTATACCCCTGCTATCCAGATACCTTTATGTTTCCCTGAAAACCAATACAAAATGTTAATTATCTTTAGCAGGTGGTTCAGATTAATCATAACTTCATGGTTCACATAGTATTACCTTGCCTCCATGGCTGGTAGGATTTTTTACATTCAGTGTAGCTTATAGTTTCTAAAGGCAAGGTAATCAAAGTAAAAATGTGTTGAGTTAGAGACTGAGATTTGATAGTTTGGTTTCAAGGACATGCAAAATAAGGCAATTAACATGTATTTAATTTTAAAGCTAGATTACGTTTATAGGCCACAAGCCATTGCCCACTGAAATCAGAACAAATCCCTCTAGGACTTCACTTTTCTATGTACTGAGGTTTTATGATATACCCTGTAGTAATAACAGCTATATTATCCCTCAGTGGGAAACCTGGGAGGCATTTAGCTTCAGAAGGGTATAGGGTTTCTCAAAGAACCATGGATACATTCTGTGAATTTGGAGAGGGAGACGTGGCTTATAGCTTGGCCTACTTCACCTGCCTTTCTGTTGAGTTGCTTTGGGAGTGGGCGTGGAGATCATCTCTGCAACAGTGTTTTTTGTTTTTGTACTCCCCTTTCCACACACTGTTGAATGTAATGGAGACACATTGGTAGGTTATGGACAACAAAAATAACCAATTACATGTTGTCCTGGTAGAAGGAACAGCTTTTTACACAGTCTTACATGGGTGAGTTATGCAGGTCTTCTGTAATCTTTCTAAAACTTTTACATGGTGTCCTAGATTCAGGGATTTGCTTTTGAGTCAAAATGAGGTGAGAAAATAAACCATAACCGTGACTGCTAGGTACTGTTCCTTGGGGTTTATGCATAATTTAAGCTTATTATGCAAATGAATGCATTTAAGTCTTAACTGTAGATTACGCATCAGACTTGGTAATGGAGGGTTCATACAGCTATTGCTAGAGCACAGTAATTCAGTAGCTAGAGAGACAGTTGATTCAAAATCCCAGGTCCAAGCACTCTTAGACTTAGGGATCTGAACTGTGAAAATTGGAGATCCATGTCAGGTTTGCTGGAATATGTTAGGAAGAAGTAGAGTCTATTGGAGTGGTAACTGGACTGGAAGTAGGGAGTGTGAGATGTTTGCCTTGACTGCTAGTCAAATTTGACCTTAAGTTAGTCACTTCATCTCTTTTCTAACTTGTGTTTTCCCCTCCCACAATTTGTCTATGATGTGCATTTTACAAACTCTTCAAGACAGACTGCCTCTATGTCTTTGTATATAACTTAACACAATGAATTCTAGAAGCTGATGTATTACATATTTTCATTAATATGATAAACTTTATGCCAGGAATACGTAACTGATCCATACTTCTTTTTTTTTTTTTTTGAATTGCAGAGACAAAGTATTAGCATGGCATAAAATATGGCCCAGTTCTACTACAAGAGAAGTGTTAATGCCCCCTACAGAGATCGTATCCCTCTTCGTATAGTGCGAGCAGAGTCTGAACTTTCACCTGCAGAGAAAGCCTATCTGAATGCTGTTGAGAAAGGAGATTACGCCAGTGTGAAAAAAGCTCTGGAAGAAGCTGAAATTTATTTCAAGATCAATATTAATTGTATTGATCCCCTTGGAAGAACTGCTCTCCTTATTGCAATTGAAAATGAGAACCTTGAGCTCATTGAACTGCTCTTAAGCTTTAATGTTTATGTTGGAGATGCTCTACTACACGCTATACGCAAGGAGGTAGTTGGAGCTGTGGAACTGTTGCTAAACCACAAAAAGCCCAGTGGGGAGAAACAGGTACGCATAAAATTTTACCTTGCTCCTGATTTGCAAATCTGTTTCTGTAGGGA